TGATCGCTTGCGAACATTCTTAAATAATAAAACAAGATATTAATAAAACAATCATATTCAACTATTTAAACATAAAACAATAAAAATAACTAAACATCTCTTGAGTCCCTTTTTCATTATCCTGGACAGATATAACAGCTTCATCTACATCTGGTATTACGTAAATTTTCAATTTCTCTCCTGGTTGAGCTATGTTCCTAATGAAATTCTCATTAAGACTATTGCAATATTTTATTCCTAGATTTGTATTAAAACTTACCTCTAATGCTTGTAACGTGTTTGCTGATATCACATTTTGATGCATAGTTAGGTGGAACTCTCTTCTTTCATCTACTAATTCTAATTCATCAATAAAATTCCTTATGTCAGCTGAAGAGAATATCTTATCGAAATTTATTAAAATTTTTCTAGCTCTGTTTTTTTGCATTTTCGTGAAGGTGAACATTGTGATTGTCTCTGAAACTTTATAAAACTGAATATATTTCCGCTCTCAAGCTCTTGATCATATCAATGGATATTTGAGATTTTTGATTTGATATACTCTAGAATAGCGATAATCGTCTAATCCTTGCATATTGTATTTTCGAGATATTCATTTATAATTGGTTTGAATATCTTTACAGTAAAATAGAAGTGTGGTGAGTAACTGAAATGCTTAATTAAATATATGCACAACCAATTGATCAGAGAAGCGTTGCAAGTCACGGTATACAAGAAACAGCATGTAGGGAGGAGGCAATGAACACGCATGCTCAAGGACATTCCTACAGGGTAGCACCAGACATCTAGCGCAGGACGTAGTGGCTATACGCCAGTAGGGATATACGTGATTGCAACTTTACCTGAAAGTTTAGAGAGTTATGAAGACTAGTCTTATTTATTTACAAAGAATCCTGTTCTGTGGCAGTATACGAATTAAGAATTTAATAATCTGTAATAGCAAGTACTCACCACTTTGCTAACAGAGGTGTAAACTAAACCAAAGTTCTTTCTTTATCTCTTCTGATACTCACAATTGTGTCAAGGAAGTAGTAGATGGAACACGCGTGTATGGGTGTTAACCAATTAATAAAATTAATCAGTAAGGGATTTGTATCACATAGATGTTGATATTTTTTTAGTTATTACTAAATTTGAAATATTACACTAATTTTTTATATTGTGCAATATAACTTTATAATATACGGGCAAACATTCTGGCAATAAAAAGTAAGTGATTAACTGGATTTGAATTGGATCCGAACTTGATCTCCAATTTAGAGAACAACTAAACATCTTGGAAAAAATAAGGTGAAGATTACAATTTTATATTTAATTATTTGCATGATATTACTACTGTTTTTGTATTTTTTTTTAGATGATACACCAACAGATTGTCTACTAAGTTTTAATATTAGTGTATTTTCAAAAAAAATTAAATGAAATTTAAATTGTTTTTTATTTTACATTTTTGTTGTATATAATTAATAAATTTTGTTATGATTTGATAGCTAAAACATGGTTTACTATTAGTAATTTACATACTGTTTATGTACTGTTTACATGCCTTGTCCACGTACTATTTACATACCATCCATACTGTTTATGTACTGAACACGTATTTTAAGATATGGAAAATTGCATTATTCCATATCAAATTGTACCTTTTGTACATGTGGTTTATTATTTAAAATCCCGTATGTTTATAATGTACCTTTATTTTTCAGTGATTATGTTTATTATTAAAAAATAAAAACAATAGAATATCGTTAATTAAAAACTTTTAAAGTCAATCACCTGTGTCAATCATTTACCTGAAAAAACACTACAATAGATTAATTTTTTTGTTCTTTGAGGAGATACTAACCAATTTTTTTTTTTTTCTTTTTTGAGTAAACGCATAGTATATTGTCATTTTGAAACTGGTTTCTTGCATGGTCTTGGTATTATTTATTACTTGGACAATGCAATTTATCAATTTAACTTATTTGCAAAATATTATGTGTTGTGGTAAACATGCACACATCAAAGAAAGGATTAAAAAGTTAAGTGGATTTTATCTAACTAAAATATAGAATTTATATAATTATTTAAAGGTAAAACCCATTTTTATTAAATTGCTAAATGATGAAAACAAAATATTGCAAATAGTTTACCTTTTTAAATACTTTATTTAGTCCTTCTTTCTCTTTCTTTTTCTCATCACCAGTTTGCCTTATTTTGATAAAAAATAGTTGTCTAGATTCAAATTGGTCACCATTAATGATAGAATCAGTTGGCCAAATTATCTATTTCAAATTATTTTTAATATTTATTATAAATGTGCAAATTTAATTTTATTCCATTTACTTCATTCATTATTATTACAAGACTAATCATAAAATCTTTTATCAATTTTAAAATAATTTTAAAAAACCTACAAAGTGAACATAAAATTATATATAGGATTGTAGGTATATGAAAATCAATAATGAGAATAATGGTTCTAATGAATATCAAAAAGCAATTGATTTTTTAGAAAAAGGTTGTAAATGTGGTTGTTCTTCAAAAATTCCCAAAGAAAATTTTGCAAAATTAAGAGAATCATTTCAAGCTCTTTTCAAGTTTGAACAAGACATATTTTTAATGGTCCAACTTAAAGCCATGGATGGTGGATCAACAAGTATCAGCAGACGTCTTAAAAAGAAAACTAGATTTAATAAAAGAACTTTTTACCATTAAGATTACAATACACCACTCTGTTAAGAAACTTATCTCAATATGTTAGGAATTGGCAGAACTTATTTTGAAAACATTAGAAATCATCTGATAAACCATGGTCTTTTAATAAGAGTTTATGGTAATATTAAAAGGATGCCTCAATGGAAAACTAAAATGGTGATTGATAAAAATGTTGCAGAAGTAGTAAAGAATTTTCTAGAAAATTATGCAGAAGTCTATAGATTACCAAGTCTAGGAAGAAATATCAATAAAATAACCCAAACAATTGTATTTTTACCAGCTAAAATAAGTTATAAATCAGTCCATAGAGATTTTCTGGCTGGTCTAGAAGAAGATAGTAATTTGAAATCATTAAAGTATGATGCATTCAGAAAATTATGATATCAATTGACACCAGAGATTGAAATTATGAGTCCCAGAACTGACTTGTATGATACTTGTCAGCATTTTAGAGATGGTTTACATTATAATACTTATCAGGAGGAAGAAGTTAAAGATTTGCTCAAAAGATTTAAAGAACATCTATCTAAAGCCAAAGTAAAAAGAAATTATTACAATAAAAATACCAAATTAGCAGAGGAACAAAGAAAACTAGTTGATCAATGTTATTCCAAAGGTAAAATATTATATTGCAGTATTGATGCTACTGTTCATTATAGTTATGATTGAGCCCAAAATGTTCATGTGTCACATTTAGATCAACAAGTAAGTAAAATTTATTATCTTAGTTCATGTAAAGTTCATTTATTTGGTATTCAAGATGAAGCAGCAAGGGAATAAATTAATTATGTTCTTAATGAAGATGAAATTATAGGAAAAGGTCCTAATGACATCCTTAGTATGATCTTTAATGGAATCAAGAAATTAAATAGAAGTGAAAAGCATTTAAAGATTACTTGTGATAATGCAGGTGGACAGAATAAAATCAATGTAACAGTTTAGTTTTATTTATATTTGGTAATTTGTGATTATTATGAAAACATTGAATTAAATTTCATGGTTTCAGAACATACCAAATTCAAATATGATGGCAATTTTAGGATGATTAAAAAACTCTATAGAAGAACAAGAGTAGACTGTCTGGATCATGTGGTTGAGGTGGTAAAAAAGTCTAGTCTAACAGGATTAAATAAAGCTCAATGTTATGAAGGTGGAAAAGGTTTTCAATACTTGGATATTAAAGCTATTTTGGGAATTTATTTTAAGAAATTAAATGGTTTGCAAAAATATCAACATTTTCTTTTTGAAGCATCTAATCTTGATACAATAAAAGTTCAAGAAGTTGCTAATGGTTCTTTTATTGAATTTAATTTATTAAAAATTAGGAGAACAGATATTTTTGAAGAAATTAGAGCTTTATCTATTTTAGTGTTAACACCACCTCCTTTGGATTACAAAAGTCAAGAATACCTTTATAATAATATTTATCCATTTGTAAGGGATGAATTTAAAGATGTTACTTGTCTAAAACTAAGTTATGCTGATAATGAATAGAAAATTTAAAAATAAATTAATAAAATAATTATATACTTAATAATGCTTTTATAAAAAGAAAAATATTAAGTATTTATTAAAAATTGAAGAATATAATTAACAAAAATCATGAAAAACATAATAAATGAACAACAACAAGCAAATAAAGAACTATTAAACAAAATTGCTGATTTAGAAAAACAGTTAGCTGATAAAGATCAAGAAAGAGAACAATCAATAGAAGAACTTAAATTAAAAATTTGACACCTTACTGGTCAATCTGATGAAAATAGTTATGTTCCTGATCATTGATGATATAAGAAACTAAACAAGAAATGAATGAATGAAGGTAAACTTAAAATGGCAGCAGATCCTAATGAAACAAGGGAATGAGCCAAAAATTGCAAAAGAATTTGATTTGACAATATCACAATTGAAGAAATGTTAATGGAGTTTATTGATAGTTCAAAAGAATTAGCTACAAGTTGTTCTAGTTATATTTCAAATTGAAGTAAAAGAGATTATTAACTTACTGAACAAAAGAGAGAGTATAAAAAGAAAATAACAAATTTGAATAAGTATAAAGAGCAAGTTGAAGATTTAGAAAAAAAGCTTACAGAAATTTTGTTAGTTTGACATGAGGAGCAAGAAGAAATTGATAATGTTTCTTAAGAAGATCAATTTCATAATTGAGACTTAGGAGAATTAAAAAATTTAACAAGTAGAATAGAGAAAGAATTAAATTAAGTTGTCTTTGAAGTCATTGAAAAATTAGAACAAAGTTCTAAAGACTTAGCTGAAGCAATAAATAAGGCTGAAAAATGAAAAACTAACAAAAAGGTCTTTTGAATGATGAAATCAAACAAAAATCATTAATGTTGCAAAAGTCTGATAAAATGCTTGAAGAGGAAATTACAAAAAATGCAAAGTTATAAGAAGAATTAGTCCAAAAATTAGAAATGTTAAGAAAGAATGATCAGAGATTTGAGGATGAAGCAAAAGAAAGAGAAGAACTAAATATATTTAGAAAGAAAACCCTTGCCTGCTCTACCTAAAGAAGAAAATAATATTTTAACTAAGTAAAATATTTTCAAGCAATTAAAAACAAAGACAAGAGTCAAGGTTCAGCAGTTGCAGAAATTAATCAAAAGAAAGAAGTTTTACAGTCAAGCACTTGTTACTAAAATAGAAGTTTCAGTTAAGTAACTATGAGAGAATTACTCTATACAATCTTAGAGTTAGAAGGATAACATAGCAGTAATTCTACTTGTG